TATACTACAGCTATGTCAGTCTGCCATTCTAGTGAGTATGTCAAAAAAGGAAATGAGGTTAGTCTGCCAGGACTTCCTTTTTCTGTGTCTTTAAAGAAAAATGTTATTGGTGCCTTTCTTTTATACTACAAAAATTTCTTGATCTTTCTCCTCACCCTCAAATAGATCTCTCCCTTATAACAAAACAAAACAAAAACAGGTAAGCAGAACCAAGGGGCAAAGGGACCAAAGTATGACTTGTTTTGATAGAAATCCATAATGACTGTTACTTTCTTTTCTAAGAGCTTATTAAGCCATCTCTTTAGTAATGAGCTCTAGAGTTTTGCCAGGAATTGAAATCAAGCTCACCAGCAAGTAGTTGTAAGAATCTGTCTTCTCATTTTTGAAAACAGGGATACTGTTTGCCTGTCTCTAGCTTTCAGTGTGTCTCATCCTCCACAGTTTTTGAAGCTCACCGGTAGCAGCTGAGCAGTCGTGTCATCCTGTTCTTTCAGTTCCCTAGAATTTAATGCATCTAGGCCTGATGATGACTTTAACTCATTGAGAGTAACTAGGTGCCTTTTTCCTTCCTCCTTCCTTGAGTTTCACTTCCCTGTTTAACCACTTTTGTCCTTTTTTTTTTTTTTTGTCGAGGCACTTGGGGTTAAGTGACTTGCCCAGGGTCATACAGCTAGTAAGTGTTATGTGTCTGAGGCTAGATTTGAACTCAGGTTCTCCTGATTCCAGGGCCATTGCTCTATCCACTGCGCCACCCAGCTGCCCCTCGTCCTTTATTTCTTAGTGTGAATATCATTCTCTCTTTTTTTTTTTTTGAGGCATTTGGGGTTAAGTGACTTGCCCAGGGTCACACAGCTAGTAAGTGTCAAGTGTTTGGTCTGAGACCGGATTTGAACTCAGGTACTCCTCACTTCAGGTCCGGTGCTCTATCCACTGTGCCACCTAGCTGCCCCTAAACATCATTCTTCTTGGTAGAGAAAAACCTGCAGTATAATAGGAATTGAGTAGTTCTGCTTATTATTGCTTCATCTGTTATCCCATCTACCCTAAGCAATAGTCCTGTCCCTTTTTAAAACTGCCCTTCCAGGGGCAGCTAGGTGGTTCGATGGATAGAGCACCAGCCCTGGATTCAGGAGGACCTGAGTTCAAATGTGGCCTCAGACACATAACACTCACTAGCTGTGTGACTCTGGGCAAGTCACTTAACCCCAGTTGCCTCACCAAAAGCAAAACAAAACAAAATTGTCCTTCCTCTGGCCCCCAACATAGCTTTAAACCAGTTATTTGTAAGAAAACTGAGGGCTAGAGAAGGGAAGTGATTTAAAAACCAAGGTCATAGGCTATTCAGAGGTGGGACTAGATCTCTGACTCCCAGCTCAGTTTTTTTCTGCTTCACCACACTAATAATTCAGCAAGTCTTCACGCTGCTCCAGTTGTGATCAGGGTGCTGACAGTGTCCTTCTCCTCAGGTAGTTTTCAGTACAAGTGAATGTTTGAGAATTTTGCTCTTGAAACGTTAGCATATGATACCATGTATTACTAGTTGAGGGCCACATAACTGATATAGAAAATGTGCTAAGAGTTATGAAAGCAAAGAGATTACTTTGGGATAAGCAGGATTTGGAGTGCTTGAGCCTGAAGAATGGCGATTAATAATAATAATAATATTATTATTATTATTATTATAATACCTATCACTATCTGTGTAGTCCTTCAAAACATTTTCATATCCATTTCTAGTTTGCACTTCCTGATACCTTTCTGAGTGGGTAGAACAAGTTGTTTCCTATAAAATTGTTTGCCTTTAAAATGAGTGGTTCCAACCAGATGATCTCAAGTTCTAGGGGGCCACCTCTTTAAAAACAGTACCCCTGTTTTACAGATGGGAAACCTGAGACTCAAGAGAGGTGTAGAGTGAAACGGTGTTATAATATAGCTGAGACCAAGGCTTGGGTTTTTTCCCATTCCATCAATTCTGTTAGAACTTAGCTGAGTGGAGAGGATGCCGCAGAGTATTTGGGGTAGGGGAAGAGTGTGAGAAAAGGTATGGCTGTTTCCTTCAGTAATTCACACCTTAATCTGTTCTTCCCAAGCTCTCTCAGCACCTGTTCTTAACTACCCATGTGTGTGTTGGGGTGGGAACCATAGATGCTAGGGTTCCGGTTAGTACCCTGAACTGGGGAAAGAGAGTAACGATCCACCTAGGGCCTGACTCCCTCTCCTGTACCTCTAGGCCAGACAGAGAGCAGGGGACGGCTGCAGGGGGTGGCTGAGCTGCGCCTGGCTGGCCTGGAGCTGACAGATGCCTCCCTCCGCCTTCTCCTACGCCATGCTCCCCAGCTCAGTGCCCTTGACCTCAGCCACTGCGCCCATGTTGGGGATCCCAGTGTCCACCTCCTCACAGCCCCCACCTCCCCACTCCGGGAGACCCTTGTTCACCTCAACCTAGCGGGTAAGCAACCCTCACCCCTTTTCCTGCTACCAGGAGCTCCTCAGCCCTCATTAGTAGCTTTGCCCCCTCCCCAGAGTGAGCCCCATGTCAGCCGCTGCCACCCTCAGGTTGCCACCGCCTCACGGACCACTGCCTCCCGCTCTTCCGACGATGCCCCAGACTTCGACGCCTGGACCTTCGCTCCTGTCGCCAACTCTCACCTGAAGCCTGTGCCAGGCTGGCAGCTGCAGGTCCCCCTGGTCCCTTCCGATGCCCTGAGGAGAAGCTGCTGCTCAAGGACAGCTAGTGGGGTGCCCCCCAACTTCCCCCAGGACTTGCAAGCCTTTATCTTGGGGCCCCTTTCCCCATCTCCCCAATCCATCACCCAGGGGCTGGGTCTCTCTACCTTCTGACTTGATTCTCCCACATAGAGACTCAAGAACAACCCCCAACCCCCTGCACTGATATATCCCTGGGGGTTAATGTCTTCCCCTCCCATGCCCCTGCCTACTTCATTGTCCTGGGGGAAGTGGGGCAGAGGTACTGATGTGGGGGAGGGACTGGGGGGCTTGAAAGGAGGGGGGAAGTTTAGGGGGGCAGCATTTAGGTGGAGGGGATTGGGAATGTGGCTGGGGAAGGTTCTGGTGGTGGGGCAATCTGCACATTGCTACTGGGGATCCAGGGGATGGGGGGAAGGGCGGTAAGCAGACAAACAGAAACTGAAGCATAAAAGGGAACAAAGACCACGTATTTGGGGGAGGGTGGGGGAGGGTTAAAAAGGGAAAAACAGGAAGTGGGAGAAACGGGTGTCAGATTGAGGGCAGCTCAGAGGGAACAACTAAAATTGGGGTTGGGGAAAGAGGGATGAGGTGAGGCTGTAGAGGGAAGGAGGGGGGATGGGAGCAAGCTATGGGGGAGCATCAGGCAGGCCAAGGGCTCCCCCCTTCCCATCCTTATCACCCTAAGACTCTGTCCCTTCCTCTCCCCTCTCCAACTCTTGAACCGTCACTGACATGGCAGCTAATTGTGGAGGTGGGGGGAGGACAGGGGCCTTTACTGCTGTACAGGGAATCGGGGCCCTGCCAGGGGAGTGAGGGATCTCTAGACCACCCCACTTCCCTGAAAAATACTTGAACATTCATCTGTACTGAAGTGTTACTTGAACTTAGGGAACTTTGGGGATGGGGAGGTGGGAGTTTGGGGGAGGGGAAAGGGGGTGGGGAAGTTATCGGTTTGGATTGGGTTGTTGGCAGTTTGAACTGGGACGTTCCCAGCCTTACTCTTACTGTATCTATCCTCTCCCACCCTCCCCCAGGGGCCAGACAGCCCGTGATGGGGAGAAGGGACTCCCCAAAGCTGGTTATTTCCACCCCTTCTGTTGTCATGGAAACTTGCATCCCATTTGCCCAGGGAAATGCCACTCCTGGTTGCCAAGGAAAATAGCAGCCAATGGACACACTCCCAAAGCCAGTGCCCCAGCTGGAAAGGCCCCTCTAGGTTGCCATGGGAACTTCCAGGGTTTTTTTCCTTTCTCCTCTCTTTTACTCATCCCTGTCACTATAGCAACAGCCACTCCCCCTGAAACTCCACCCAAGAGGCGTGGCTTTGTGGGGGGGTGGTCTCTGCAGCTAGCTCCGCCTGTGGGTTTGTCCTGGGGAAGATACCCCAAGCCCCAAAGGGAGGAGTGGCTGAGGAGGCTATCCTTAGGCCACAAGGACTAAACCACTTGGGGGAGAGGGGGGAGGGCAGAGGGCAGAGTGAACCACATACCTCAGGTAACAGGGAGGGAAAAGGATTGGGGGGAGGGAGGGAAGAGGTGGACCAAAGGCCGGGAGGGAGGGGGTTTAGGGGGAGGGAGAGTCAGTCCGGAGCTGGAGCTAGAGACGATTTGAAGGATGAGGGCACACAAAGGGAAAGTGATAAAATAGGAACAAGGGGAGTGGGCTGGGCTGGGCCCCAGGCCCCCTGGATCTCGGAATTGTACAATAAGGTTTGCTATAAAATATAAAATCTTCCAGCTGAGGGCTGTGGTGTGTCTGTTTTGTTGAAGTAGAAAGGTGGGGTAATTTGGGAGGAAACCTAAACTCCTGGTCCCTGAAAGTGTGAGCACTGTCGGGAACGTAAATTCCTGCACTGAAAGAGAGATTGGACTAGCTAAATTCCACGGTCTCTTCGTAACACTGAGGATGTTAAGAATACTCCAGTCTCACCCTCTGCCCTAAGCTTAAGATTTTGGCCAAGTTGGCTTTATGAGACTTTGTCCCCATAAGATTTAACTCTTCTGACCCAGACGGGAGGAGGCATATCATCGTAAGATGCAGGTTCTTGCTGCTCCTGTGTCCATCCGTCCTCCACCCCAAGAGTTTCCTCAGGTTGAAATGCTGGGCTGGGGTGGGGGAGTGAAGGGAAGTAACCTGATTTCATTCAAGAGGAAGCCGGGAACCAAGATTCCTGAGTGCTGGAGAGGGTAGCTCAATGCAGACACATTTCTGGGTCTCTGGGCCAGAGTGTTCGGACTGTGGATTTGGTCTCTCCCCAGCTCCTCCCTCATCATGTGGTTGCCCCCCCCCCGTCCCCGCCCCTAGATCCAGTTCCTGTTTCTGCCTCTCCTCCTTTTCAGCCCCTGGGGCTCCCGCCTCCTACTCCTCTAGGGCCTTGTTTGCCTGAGGCTCTAAACTGCCTTCTTCCTTCCGGGAACCCAAGCATCCTAGCTCCATGTAGTTCAGATGCTCCCCTTTCTTTTCCCTACCTCCCACCCCACTTCTAGAGCTGACCAGCAAACTCGGGATGCCCAGGGGCTCTCCCCCATTTCCTTAGAATTCTTATAACTATCCCTGCGCCGGCATAGCTTCTTGGCCTCTCATCCTGAATCTGCGGGTTCTGCTTTGCTCCCTCTTTCTTAGGAATAAGGTGGTCCAATTTCTAGAGCCTCGCGGCTTTTAGGCTTAGCCTGTGTCTCAGCCCCAGGGTCTCTCCTTCCCCCCCCTCCCCATTTGCCTGGATTCTCCAGGATGAAAGGAGGAGAGGGGGATGCAGGAGAACAGGCCCCCCTTAATCCTGAGGCTGGAGAGAGCCCAGGAGGTTCAGCCACCTACCGCGACTTTGTGCATCGAGGCTACCTGGACCTCATGGGAGCCAGCCAACACTCATTGCGGGCCCTTAGCTGGCGCCGCCTCTACCTCAGCCGAGCCAAACTCAAGGCCTCCAGCCGAACATCTGCCTTGCTCTCCGGTTTTGCCATGGTGAGGAGGTTGCTTCTAGAGACACTGGGGTGATGGAGCAGTGGAGGGAGGAGGTGAGGGAAGGATAGCGGGGAGGATGATAGGGCTCCAGAGCAGGAGGTGCTCTGAAGGCTGCCAGCCCCTGGGTGTGAAGTCAGAATCCGGATGTGGTTCCGGGAGTGGGGAGGATGACCACAGCCAGAGCTGATAACTGAATGCCGGTCTGACTGTTAGAGCCAAGCAATAATTCCTGTGGGGTGAGAATGGCCCGAGCTTAGGAAGGCTGAAGCTATTTGAGAAGAGAGATCTGGCGAGAAAGCTTTGGAATGCAGATCAGGAGGGTGATAACTGATTTGGAAAGTGATAAGGAGTACAGGATGGAAGAATTGTAGAGCTGCAAGGGGCCTCAGAAATCATCTAATCTAACGCCTTCATTTTACAGTTGGGGAGACTGAAGTTATAGAGAAGTGGCTTGCCCAAGGTCACCCAGTGAGTTAGTCGATAGAATGCAAATCTCCAGATTAAAAGACCAGTACAGTATCCTTTCCACTGTGCCAGGAATGAGATGGGGAACTTCATAACCTGATGGAGGAAGACTTAAGTGGCAGTGTCATTCTGATGAAAGAAAAAGGGACAGAAAATTCAGGGGTCAAGACTTAGTGAGATAGAAAGCTCTAAGTTGGGAGTCAGCAAACCTAGGTTCTTGTCTGAGTTCTGTCATTAATTCACAAGCGACTACCTCCCTGGGCCTCAATTTCCTCACTTAAAATAGATGGGTTTGACAAAATTATGTCTCTGAAGGGGTGAAAAGTGTGTGGGGGGCAGGGGGAAGAGAAAGGCCAAAGTGAATCCAAACTGGTTATAACATATACTCCCTGTCCTATTCCCTCCCCTCCTCCTCTCCCCACCTCATGTTTCTGCCTGTTCAGAGAAGGGCCAGGATGAATGTTTGAGGACCAAGGCAACCTAGAAGGTGGTGTTGAGGGAAAAGAATGTCTTGGCCTGCTAAGGAGAGTAGTAGTTACTGAAAGAAGGGTAAAAATGTGGATAGTGAAGGATGGTGCTAATCTCACAGAAGAATAGGGCACCCTTGCAGGTAGGGCCTATAACAAGGCTAAAGCAAATCTTAGCCCTAAGGCCCAAACTTGTTCCTAGGGAGACAATCCAGTCCCTGCTGCCATGTTGCTGAGGTGACGACGGCTTAAGGGGCCTGGCCCTCCTGTAAGAGCAGGAGAACTGATGCCTGGGTTCAGAAGGGGAAATGTAGCCCCGGGTAGAGTGAGTTCTAGTCTGGAAGGCAGCTTATTAGAATTTTAATGGAAAAGAAGGGCTGGGTAAGGGGACGCAGAAAGTAGAGAAATGGGAGCAGAGTGCTAGGATGATCATCAAAGGGGAGGGGGAGGGCTTCTGGTTGCATTTTCTCTGATGAGACTGGCCCAGATCCCTATCTTTGAGCAGCACCTGTTGCCATCTGCTATGTCCCAATTTCTTAAAATAACTGGGTCTAAAGTATTCCCCTCCCCCCACACTTTTCCTACCTCCTTACCTGGCTCCCTGCCCTCCTTCCCTCTCCTTTCCCTTCCATCAAGCTCCAGAGTAATTGGGTAAACCCTAGAAGATCCAAAGAGGGAATATAGCTAGAAAGATAGATGTCCTGGGTTCTGTGAAGGGAGCAAAGTCTACTAGCTGGGTCTAGGTGGGGAGGCTGGGAAGCTAGAAACCAGGTCCCTGAAGCCCTGACTCTCCTCTCTAGGTGGCCATGGTGGAAGTCCAACTAGAGACTGGCCACGACTACCCCCCGGGGCTGCTGGTGGCTTTTAGTGCCTGTACCACAGTGCTGGTGGCCGTCCACCTCTTCGCCCTCATGGTGTCTACCTGCCTGCTGCCCCACATTGAGGCCGTCAGCAACATTCACAACCTCAATTCCGTCCACCAGTCTCCCCATCAGCGACTCCACCGCTATGTGGAGCTGGCCTGGGGTTTTTCCACAGCCTTGGGAACTTTCCTTTTCCTAGCTGAAGTGGTCTTGGTTGGCTGGGTGAAGTTCATGCCCATTGGGGGGCCTACAGTGGCCCCTGTGCCTGAGATCCCTTCCTCTTTGATCTCAAGAGGTCCAGAGAGTCCTTTACTTGATGCACCAACCTCCATGGGCCCAAATCCTGGACTATCCCTGACAGAGCCAGTGGTCCCCTTGAATCCCCCAACTGTGACCTCAGTCTCGCAACTGCCACCCAGAGTTGGGCCTTCAGCTGTGACCTGCTCACAAAGGTGCGAGGGGCCAGTGGCCTCACCACATGGGCCTGGATGGCATGCCGCAATGGCCTCGACAGTGATCATGGTACCTGTGGGCCTGGTTTTTGTGGCCTTTGCCCTCCACTTTTACCGATCCCTGGTCGCTCATAAAACAGACCGGCACCAGCAGGAGCTGGAAGAGCTGAGCCGCCTCCAGGGAGAACTTCAGGCCGTGTGAAGTGGGAGAGAGCAAGGGAAGGAGCAGGGCTTTGGGAAGAAGCAAATAGAAGACGAAGCAGCAATGGATTGGAAGGGGCCCCAGCAACAGAACTACAGGTGGGCCCAGGAAGGAGGCCCCTGGCAACCTGGCCAGGAGCCCTAGGCCCAGAGGAAGAGCCCTACACGCCCTATCACAAAGTGGAAGAACACACTCAGGTAGAGGGACGTGATTTCCTCCCCCTCGTCCCTGTAGCTCTGAAAATAGTGGGGAGGGTCAGGTCTGGCTGGCCTTTAAGGGAGATCCCAGTGACACACAGCACCACCCAACTGGTTTTCTCTAAGGTGAGCCCCGATTCCCTTGCCTTCCCTTTTCCATAGAGCCTGTAGTGGCTTGGTATATTCTGAGGCCCCCCTCACAAATGCATCTTCTTCAGAAAAGTATACATTTGATCTACACTGGTTTTCATATCAATGACAACTTATCAGTGGCAGCTCCTAAAGCGTTAGCTCCTCGCCTTTCCTAGGTTCTCTCCCAGCAGATTTATACTTCCTGGAGGAATTCTCAAAGCCAGAGCTGACTTCTCTGAGGAATCCCCCAAGCATGCTATTTAAGGAAGCCTTTCAGGATTGTCCAAGTTCAATCTTGGTCCTACCTCTTGAGCTCCAAGGCTGTGGGGTGGAGGTAGGGTCTCCTTAGGGTATAAGACTTGTCTCCTTACCCCCTGCCTTGGAGGAATTGTGAGTCACCTTTCCACTTGGGTAGATCTCCAATGCTGACCTACAACTTTTACATTTTATTTTCAAGTTCTTAGGAGTCCTAGGGATAGGTCACACAATATTGCCTCCAAATTGGAGGGCCCCCTCTTGTTGCCTCTTTATTGTAAGTACTGCCCCATGGCTCTGATGCATCAGAAGAAATTGCCTTACCTCCAAACACAGCCTTTTTTTCCTGGTCTTTGTGCCAACATTACCTGTCCCTCTCAAAGTTCCATCCTTCCCTCCTGACCAGGGTGGGAACAAGGGAGGGGCTGGTAAAGGGGAAACAGAGAGATGGGCTTCCATGGAAAAGGTCCTGTCCAATCCCAACAATCATAGCCCACACAGTCTTTGCCTCACACTAAGCACCCCAGGGATCCCTCCCCTTCCTCTGTAATGATGGTGGATCAACTCTGACACTGAATTTTCACTGCACCTTTTTTTTTTTGTACAATAAACCTTGTTTGAAACACATCACTGTGGCTGTGGAGGATAGAGTAGGGCTGGCTCTCTGTCTTGGAAGGGAAGAGCAACAGGTGGGATGGTTATTCCTGGTTATTGAAGAGCAAAGGTAGAGAGTGTTACAGTGCCGGCAGACGCTGGGGAAATGGGGTTTGGGTTCTAGGTTCCAGGAAAGGAGTATGCCTTGGTGGGGAGGGAATGAAGTGGGGTAAAGAGCAAAGGGTTGCTGTTACATAGAGACAGCAGAAGACCCAGCAGGTTGTGCCAGAGAGGGAAGCTTCCAGACCTAATGAAGATGGCAACATAAGTCTTGAAAACTAATACCAAGTCATCCAGGGTTCAGAGATGAGCAGAAAAGAGTCAACTCCAAGTAGGCTGAGCTGAGGAGGCTAGAGGTGGGAATGGAGGATAGATAGGCTGAGCTGGTGAGAGTAAGTGGACTACAAAAAAAGGTAGTTATTGAAGATGAAGGGTTGGGATCACAAGGCCCTCGGGTATGCCTAACCTCACCAGCAGGGCCAGGCCAACAAATGGGAATACAGCCTGCGGTAAGGTTTCCAGATGGGATGGTCTTGGGCACCTCCCTTTACTGCTTTCAAGGTCCTAGTTTAGCACATTCCCTGCTATCTCTGACATCTCTTAGGGCCAGAGTAGCTTCTTCCTTCTCTGTCCTAGGGAACTGTAGCCCCTAATTTCCTAATCCCTGACCTGTCCCAATGCAAATGCCAAAAGGCCTAGGAAGGGGGAGTGTCAATAGGGTCTTGAGGTGTCCATGCTGAGCCTTATTTTCTTTTCATCTAGAAACTGGGAATGGAGGAAAAATGGGGCTCCTGATAATTAATAGTTTAGGAAAGTATTCCTAGACTTTTTTGGCAGGGGATGGGGGGAGGGTAGGGGAACAGGTTGCTCCAACCCTTTCCCTGCCCCCCCCCAAGTTTTATTGCGTTTCCTCTAGATCCTGAACTTTTTTAGTCTGTTCTCCAAAGCAAGAAGCCATTCCACCATTGTTCCTCATTTTTTCCCAAAAGGTCATAGAATTCAGAGAGAAAAGAACCTCAGAGATCATCTAGGCTCCGTCCTTTAGGAGGTGAGAGAGTAAACCCAGGGAAGAGAGATGCTTTGTCAAGGTATTCAAACTCCAGACCCCAGTGTTGCTACCATGCTAATCCTCCTTAGTTGGGTAATGCCTTCACACCTAGACCACAATGAACAGTTTTCTCCTTACTGGCCCTATGAGGTGCATGGTGAATTATCCCCATTTCACAGATAAGAAAGCTGAGGCTGGGAGAAGCAGTCACGCTCGCTCAAGGTGTTTGTTCAAGGTCACAGCCAGGGTGCAGCACAACCCACAGTTCCAACACTAATGTCAAAAGCACCACTGTCATGGCCACGAGACCCACGTGGGGAAGGGGGGGGAGGTTTTGGGCTCGACCCCGGACTTCTGGAAGAACTTCCCCCCTCCCCGCCGCCACATCTCTTCGCCCCGGCCCCCCGGCAGGCCGTGCCCCCAAGCCCCGCCCCTCCCGCTAGCTGCCAGGCTCCCGCCCGCAGATTCGCATTCCTGTCAAGCACCGGGATGGGGATCTGCAGATTCGTCCCTCCGATGACAAGTCTATTTAAGGATGGCCCCCACCCAGCCCTTTAACTCAGACGTGGGTCCATCTGGATTCATCTTCTGTGTCTGATACCAAAGTAGGGAAATTTGTGGCATTTATGAGAAACACCAACCAAGGATGAAAAGCCAAATTAGACTGCTGGTAGGGATATAAGTGGCCGTACACTAACACCGGCGTTATTTTTCCGATACAGACCCAGCACCCTGAGCGAAGCCAGGAGATGGGGCCTCTGGTGAATCTGCCAATCCTGAATTTGTACTTCACAGCGAGACGGACGCAGGAAGTAGCGCAAGCTCTGCTGCCGCCGATTCGCCTCTGGCGAATCTACGGCTGTCCAACGCGCTAACCTCTCCTACCCAGCTCGGGCCCGGCCTCCGCCCGTGCACTCCGCCCCCTTTTCCTCAGGGACTCGACGCCGCTTTAGCAGTTGCAGATTCGTCACATGTCCAGACCTGAGCAACGTGACAGTAGTGGTGAGGTCCGCTCTTCAAGGGATGCGACAGGCCTGCCGGTTCCCCCCATTGCTCCTTCCCATACCATCCGGAGGGAAGAAAGAGGTCGAACCTCTTGTCTTCCACCCTCAAGGCTCCTGGAGGCGCCAGTGTCGAATGTGCTCCGGTGAACGCAGAGCCCGCCGGGCCTCGCGCAGGTGGCGGTGGTGTTTGGTGCGCGCGCCGGGGAGGAGGGAGGTGGTGGTGGTGGGGGCGCCGCCGCCGCCGCTGCCGCTGCGGGGCCGGGTCTCGCGCCGCCGCTGAGGTGGAGCGAGGTGGGGAAGGGAAGGGGAGGGAGCGACTCGCTCGCCCCGAGCGGGTGAGTGTAGAACGCGGTGCGCGCGCGCGCTAGGCGGGGAGGGGACGGCGCGCGCGGGTGGGGAAGGGGCGACTCGCGGGGGTGCGCGAGGAGAGGGAAGTGCCGCGCGCGCTGCCTCCTCCCCCTACCTTACTCCCGTCCCCTCCCCCCCCGCCGGGGGCCCGGGCCTGGGCCGGGACCGGAGGGTCTCGCGGTGTTTCCGGAGCCCCGCCGCGGCCCCGGAGGAAGGTTCCCCCTTCCTGGTTTGGAGCCGCAGGGTCCCTGGGCCCCGGGGAGCTGCGGGGGTGGTGGAGGAGTCGAGCGGTGCAGCGGACCTGGCCGGCGGCGGGTGAGGAGACAGGCAGAGGGGGCGGGGCTTAGGGGGGGCGCGCCTCCGGCCCGAGGGGGGAGGGGCCGAACGGGGGGCGTGAGGGGCTGAGGGGAGGGCGTCCTGGGTTGGGGTTCCTGAGGGAGTTTGGGCAGAGAAGTGTCCTGGGGCACCCGGGGGTGGGGGAAGGGACTCAAAGGGGATGTGTCTGGAGGAAAGGGAGGAGAGGGAGAGGAGGGTGCAGGCTAGAACGTGGGGGGCCTCCCTTTTGGTGACGGGGTTGTAGGGAATATTTGTAAGGACAGGGTATGTTTGGGAGGGATAGAGGCTGTTGAGATGTCTTTGGGAAGAAAGTCTTGGGGGCAGGGAGGGAGCTGTGAGGGGTTATCAGTGAGGGAAAGTTGCACGTGTGGGAAATGTGTATGTAAGGAGAGGGGGGAAGGATTGTAAAGGGCATGAATGGGGGAGAAGGATCAGATGTGGGAGAAAGGGAGCCTGAAGAGGGAGGCATGAGGGAAGGAAGGCTGTGGGGGATAGCGGTGTTCTGCAGTGGGATGGGAGGAAGGTTGGAAATGTATAGGTGGCAGAACACTATGGATGAAAAGAAGCTGTGGAGAATAGGTATGGGGAGAGGGCTGGGCAGATGTATATGAGGCACTGTTTGGTACTTGGGGTGAAGAGGTGTGTGTTCATGGAAGACCAAGTGGTATCCTAAAAGGGCTGGGTTGTCTGTGGGGGTTGGTATGGGGTCCTGGAAGGGCTCTGGATATAGATAGGTACGAAGGAAGGCTTTGGGAGTTCGGGGCCTTACTCTTTTCTGTTAATTGTTTATAGTTTAAATGAGCCAGGATGGACCAGGAAGGAGGGGGAGATGGGCAAAAGCCCCCCAACTTCCAGTGGCGAAACTACAAACTCATCGTGGACCCTGCACTGCACCGGCTCCCGCAGAAGGTTTACCGCTATGATGGGATTCACTTCAGTGTCAATGTGAGTTATTTTGCCTAAACTGTTCCCCCCAAACTTCTTGGGTAGGTAATTTTGTCTCCTAAAATTTCTGGTCTTTGTAACCTGCTCTTGTTTCAGAAAGTTGGCAGTCCTACATTTCAGCCGACTCTGCACTTAAATTCTTAAATTGTTTCCCCCAGAGTGATTAAATTGCCTTCCTTTATGTTTCATCCCAGGATGCAGGATACAAGATTGTTAGCAAGCTCCAAGACCCCCGTCAACGACTCACCTGGTCCAAAAACAGGGAACTTTCCCTCCCAGTCCCTAAGTTTAAGGTAAGTCTACATTATTTCTATGATCTGATAGTTTTTATGGAGGGTGACAGTTATAGAGAAATGTGCAAATCCACATAGGCAGCCAAAGGAAGGGGCTTGTTTTTGAGCAAGAGTAGGAGCTCTGTACGTAACATGGGTGAATAGTTGAATGAAGTGTCTTGACCTAGCAACTTATAATTTCACCTTGTGATTGAGTCTAGATGGGCTTTCCTTAGTGGTTATGATTAGCTATTGTTTTTTAGTTAGGACAATGGCCTAAGTGGTCTTGGCCTTTGGAGAAGAGATGATTGACATTCTGGTGGGAACTCAGTCAGCTATGAGAGCAGAAAAGATGTCTACTTCATATGACTTCTGAGTCTGGGGTTTGTGTGGTATAAAAATGATGGTATCCTAGGTGGTAGCAGCTCTCTCCCTAGATTCCATTGCTAACCTCATGCTTAGTTAAAAGGGATGGTATTAAAGATTCTGGAGTCCCAAAAGTTGCCCTCTCATATAGTCTTATGATTTTCCTTGGCATGCTCATCATAGCTGCAGATCTCACAAAATGAGGAGCTAATTTGAATTGGTCTGCATTAATAGAAGCAATGTCCTGAATGAGATGGGTTATGTTCCCTCTATATTCTGTACTGGTCAGATCACATCTGGAATAATATGCTCAGTTCTGGGGGCCTCATTTTTAAAAAGACCTTGACTTATCTAGAACTTTTCTAGAGGAGACAGACCAGGATGTTAAAGAAATTTGAGACTGTTACATATGAGATTTGAAGGAACTATAGAGGTTAAGTCTGGAGAAAAGAGGAATGGGGGTTATGGAGCAGGAACGGATATGATCAGTGTCTCTAAATATTTGAAGGGCTGTTATGTGGAATAACAACTAGAATATATGTGTTTCGAGGTTTACAGAGCACTCTATTTACATTCTCATGTGGAAAAGGGATTTGTCTTGGGTTTTGTGGCTTCAGGGTGTAACTCCTAACAGTGAGGGGAAGTTAGGAGAGG